TCTTCCGCCAGCCAGTGCAACGGGATTTTAATCTCTACTTTGTTCATTCTATTTCATGTGATATTTGTTATCTCTACTTTGTTCGTTGTTATTTATTTATTTGTTATTTCTTCACAATAGTATGGAGTCACTTGCTTGAAGTCAATTTAATTTTTATTTTTATTTTTTTTAGATTGCTTAGCACTGGCTGGTGTGCATTGTTTACTATTTATTTTAAATTTAGTTTTTTGGTATTGTAGAGCCATGGCTGGTGTGCATTGTTTGTTATATATATTTTGAATTCTATTTTTCTAGATTGCAGAGCACTTGCTGGTGTGCTTCATTTGGTGTTTAATAATTTTTTGGTATTGCAAAGCACTGGTTGATGTGCATTGTTTATTGTTTATTTTTAATTTCTAAATGGCTGGTATTATTTGGTAACGAGTGAATAATGAAACAAATATATATACCTGTGCTTAGGGGTTGTTATCTTTAATTGAGCTTTGTAGAGCGTGTGGTACCAACAAAATTGCAGAGTGTGGGTTTTAAAAACAATATTTCTTTATATTTCTCAATGTCTTAAGTTTTTTGTATGTTTTTCAATAAATTACATTTGTATTCAACTACATTTTGATCTCAATATTATTTATATCGTGTCATTATGCACCATCATACTTTTTATTTTGTACTTTACATACCTCTTATTCTTCCCTTTGTATTTTGTTTATGTACCTGCTCTTCTCATCTTCATTGTAACCCTCTCTTTGAAATTAATTTTTATATTTTATTATCCGATTTGCTACTAAAATTGTTATAAGTTGTTTAAGAATAATAATATTTCTTTATATTTTTTTAGTGTCTTTATCAAAAAATCAAAAAATGATACAAACTCTAAAGTAGGTTGTATGTTATAAGTATGTTAGGAGGTTATTAATTTTGTGTCGATTAATTTTTTTTATGGCAATTATTAAACCTCATTTTGCCTTCTTGCAGTTATCTTTTTCAAATTGACATAACTAGACATTTTCAGGTTGAGACACTCTTGACCTTTAACTTCTAATTATGGACAACATTACTATTTTTGGTCACGTAAGTTGTTTTATTTTTAATTTATTTGAAAAAAAAAATACAAAATGCTAAGTGACCTTTCTTATAAGTCTAAGTTAATTTTCTTTTCTTTTCATTATTTTTTATCTGATTTCCTTATAACAAAATGCTATTTTCTTATATTTTACAGATGGATGGAGACCTACGTCAAACTGTAATATTGACTCCTTTTACTCATTTTCTTACATGCATATATTTTTTAATTTTTTTTACCTCTAATTCTTTTGTATTTATAGGTTCAATTTCTTGAAGAAAGAAATGCTAATGTTGTCATCCGTGATAAGCATGACCTTAATGTCATCCGGGTTCGAGAGGTAGGCCCAATTTAATTATATAGAATTTTTTTTAATTGTCGTATTTTTTAAACTTTCTAAATATATATATTTTTATTGCGCACACCAGTGTTTAGTCATGGACAACTGTACGTGGCCCTATCTAGATGCACATCTTTTGATCGTACAAGTGTCTTCCTTCCCAACGATGAGCTAGATTCTACTACAAATATTATTTATCTTGAAATTTTGTTATAGTGTTACTTATGGATCAAATCACTTTTGTCAAAAGGTACAATTTATTTATTGACAAATTTGTTTCTATTGATTACAAATTATTATTTTAAATTTTTTTTGCTATATATGTTGACTTTTGTAGGATTGGGTTAAAAAATATATGGACCTCAAAAAGATAAATACAATTAGATTGCTTTGACAGGGATGTAACAAGGTAATTTCAATTTAAAAGTGTTTTGATATTTATATAGATTTTCTTCTACTAACAAACTAACTTTTTTATTTTCATAAATTACTAGATTGTCGCGCATACTTCTCATTGGAGATATATAGAAGTTGAAACAAATACGTTTTGGAAAGTGATGAGGCGCTCTTAGGAATTCTAAGAAAGAACAAGTTTGAAGATCATATTTATTTTTGTAAAAAGCGTACATATGCTAGCTACGATCTAGATTTTGTAAAGTTTCATATCGATGTAAATTTTAGTTTCGTAAAGCCTTTTATCTATGTGCAATTTATAAATAAGTTCAGATGTATATTATATAATATTTATTTGAATTATTCACTTGGTGTTATAGTCTTTTTTTCTTCCTAATATGCTCTTGAATTAGCGTAAAGAAAACTTCATATTTTTTTTTTGGTTGAATTTGATTTTTTGCTTCCGTATATATTTTTATCAGGAAGGGTGTTGCTTTTAATATAGGATTGGATTGTGTACGTATTAATCTTTTAAAATAATTGTTTATTGCACAATTTTTTTTATATATATTTTTTTTGAATTGCAACGTACGGCTGGTGTGCTTAATTTGTCATTTTTTTTTTCTATTGTGGAGCACTGATTGGCTTGCTTAATTTGTTATTTGTCCTTTTTTTGTATTATAGAATATTGGTTGATGTGCTTAATTTATTATTTGGCATTTTCTTTATATTGCTGAGCATTGACTGGTGTGCTTAATTTATTGTTTATTTTTTTCTATTGCAGAGCACTGACTGGCGTGTTTCGTTTGATTTTTATTATATGTTTGTGTTGTGGGACTTACATTTTATTGTGTGCTTAAAATCATAAAATCATTCCAATTATATTTTCATTCCAATACTGCCTCCGCCCCAAAATATTAGTCCCTTATTCCATTTTTCATTGTCCCAAAATATTAGTCTCTCTTTAAAAATCAAGTACAAAAATGATATAAATTTCCTATTTTACCATTCTTTTAAATTAATAAATAATATAAAAAGTACAATTATGACATTGATATTCCCAAAAAATGTACTATCAAAAGGGTAATTTTGAAAAATCAATTTTTTTAAAGTGCAATAATTGTACTACTAAAAAAAGTTGGATTCCCCAAAAGGGACCATTATTTTGGGACAGAGGGAGTAATATTTTCACCGTGCCTTCAGGCACGGGCATACCCTAGTATTTTATAAAGTTGAGGAAAAATCACAAGACAAACAATACCTATAGAATGGAAATCAATAGAATCAACTATTGAACGCCTTTTAGACTCAGGTACAGCAATTGCTTCTTCAAATTTGAGCTTCATTACAGCTTTCTGCAATTCCTTCAATTTGTTAGTAGCATTAGGATCATTTAGACAGATTTTCTTGACCTAGGTTAATGAGTGAAATATCCATTAGTACACTGCAAAAGGAATTTACGAGTACTTGCATATATTTATTCCAAAAAGACAAAAGATGGACATCAGCAAATACATAAAGTGTCCATTTGTCAAAAAGCAGAAAAACAAGTGACAAAAAGATAAGAAGGATACTAAGGTTTGTTTTAGTTTCAAATTGCTGGGTGGCTAATGATTGGATTAAAATGAAAGGTTTTTCATTAACCGTGGCAACATGCAGACAGAATTAAGGGTTTCAAATAAGGACAATTATTGTTGAAAACATCACTCACAATCACCATAGAAAAGGTCTCTTGCTATAATAAGAGGAAATTTATTAATGTTTCCTTTTCTTTTTCCGTTACACCAAGTGTTTTCGGCCTATTTTGAGTCCAAAGTAATCCCATCAGATGCAACAATCACCTGCAAGCATTGCATTCCTTGCATTATTACTTATTACTCCTAGTCGTTTTAATAATTTTGATAATTCATGATGGTGAAAAAGATGAACAAAAAATTTACATGTCCTATCTAAGATCCCATTCAGATGTATAATTTCACATTGCCACAGAATCATGTACAAGGCAAAATCATTTTTGACAAGTCCAAACACGATGTTAACATATATTAATATAATGTAACATATAACATATATTAATATGTATATATATTATATTAACACACATAGCTATACTAATATATTATATATATAGTGGATGCTAGGATGCCAGAGCACGCCTTCGCTTTCGGCTGCTTTCGGCCACTTTCTAATAGTCAGATATTGACAAAAAAAAAAATAAAAAAATCAGATATTGAGCAATTGCACGATTTGCCCAGTACACTGCATTTTCACTATTGTGACTTCAGAATACAACAGAAGAAGTAAAAGAAGAAGATGAGCAAAGACAGAGATAATTTTTTGATTCGGCTATTGCATCAAACAGTTGGAAGGCGAAACATGTAATAGGAAGAAATACTTAAATCAAAATGGGGAAATACAAGAAGGGAGGGAGACGGAGAGAGAGACCTAAATCAAAATCAATGGGCTTGAGACGGTGAGCGACGGTGAGTGACGGTGGCGATGAGACAGTGTACTAACGGAGAGCGATGGGCAGTTCGATAGGAGTGAGAGCAAATAGTGGCGATGGCCGAGGAGGATGAGGTGCTCCAGTTATTGGCGAACGCGAGGAGGACCGGTAGTGAGAGAAGGAGGGGAAAGGAGCAGCGGAGACGCCCGCGGGGGACAAAGGATCTTCTAGAGTTTTTTTTTTTAAAAAATTTTTTAAAATGGTGAATTGTGTGGTTGAGATTTAATGTTGAAAAATTAATATGATTTGTCATTAAATCTCAACCACACAATGCACCGCTTTAGAATACTTTAGAAAAAAAATACTCTAAAGGATCCTTACTCCTGCAAAATAGGAACTAATTCGGACAAACAAAGAAGCTTCTTACTTATAGCATGAAACAACGTTGTTTTGCATAATAAAATTGCACCCGATAATTATAGTTATTTATATTTATTTTAAATGTTTTTTAATATATAAATTATATTTTTTAAAATTTTTAATCATAATATATGTGAGAAGTTGAAAAGATTATTATACGGATTGTATCTATAATTATTTGTATGAGAAGATTTTATTGTTTTTCCTAATTCAACCTCAACATTTATTAACTTCTCCCAAACCATAATCCCTTTTAACTTCTCTCATAATTACTGCAGCACTCTTTTCAATTTCTCTCATAGACTATGGTTACACACAAAAATAAAGAAGATAAGAATTTAGTTATAGATCTCAAAAAAATATAACATCTAAATTTGAATTATGATTTAGTAATATAATTATGTATTATATATATATACTAGGGTATGCCCGTGCCTGAAGGCACGGTGAAAATATTACTCCCTCTGTCCCAAAATAATGGTCCCTTTTGGGGAATCCAACTTTTTTTAGTAGTACAATTATTGCACTTTAAAAAAATTGATTTTTCAAAATTACCCTTTTGATAGTACATTTTTTGGGAATATCAATGTCATAATTGTACTTTTTATATTATTTATTAATTTAAAAGAATATCTAAATATATATATATATCTATACTATATATTAAGTAAAAGGGAGTTTTTAATCCCCAAGGCCTGTGGGAGCTTCAATATCCCAATATGAATTTTTTATATTTTTTATTTTTTATTTATAAAAAAAAACTCAGCATTTATTGATTTGGTCAAAATTTTCTGATCAGCATTTATTAATTTTTTTTCAATTCACATGTCTTTCCACATACCTGCATTTATTGATTTGGTCAAAATTTTCCAATCAGCATTTGAATGAGTTAAAAACTCGCATTTTGCTTAATATATAATATAGATAGGAGATAAAATTATTTCATTGCAGAAAATTTTGTACTGTGGTGACGAAAATTTTCGTCTCTAAAATGGCGTCCAAATATTTCGCGAAATTTTTCAAGGGCGGGAATTTTTTTCTTGCGACGAAAAATAAAATATAGAGATGAAAAAATTTTCGTCACCTATTATTTTATTGATTATAAGCATTTGGTGACGAAATTTGAATTTTCTCTCTAAATTTTTTTTTTTCATCATGCATGTTCATCACCAAAGACCTTTTTTGTGAAGTGATTTATTGTGTGTTGCTGATATTGATATATTTTATATATATCAATTTTGGTGAGTAGCAACGTGGGTGTGAAAAAACTTCTTGTGTAGGTGGCTTCACGTAGTTCTCTGCTTTTGAAGACTTGATTGCTCAATCAATCTGTGAGTTGGTCTAGTGCTTGGGTGAGATTTTTGTGTCACGTGGTGTGTGCTTCAAAGATTGTTTCGGTCACAGATTTGATAAAGTTTTGCTTGTCTTCTACAATCTATTTGGAAAATAATTTATTTATTTATTTGATGAAGTTTTTTTTTTTGATTATTTGTGATTATTTAAAATTCATCTAAAAGTGATTTAGGAGATCATTCGTGTCTCGTTTGTAATCATTTGAAAACTCTTGGTTGATAGTGGAATCGGATTTTGGTCTTTTAGATGTACCTCATATTGAGGGAACCACGTAAAAATTCTTGTGTCGTTATTGATTTAATTTTTTCGTATTAGTTTTATTTCCATTGATTGATTTACTTGTGAGATATCATTTATTTCCCTAATACTATTGTGGTATTAGTTATGATTCGTTGGAGTATTGATTATGATATTATTTTAGTTATGATTCAAAAGGCTTTTAATTATACCTTATTTGATTTTTGATTATGACTCATTTGTTTTTTTAGTTAGGACTTAAAAGGATCTTGTTATGACATTTGTGGTAATCACACAAATACCATAACTTGCATATGATACGCACCATAGAATAATGTCGATCCGATAATCATAAATTTTTCATTTTGTTGTGTTTAACTCTAAAAAAATAAATAGTTTATTTTTAAAAATATATTTTTCATTTATTTTTTCGGATACACAAACACCATAAAATGAAAATATTACAATTATCGAATCAATATAATCTTTTCTATAGATGATATATACTAAGGGCTCTATAAAATGAATGGTTTGAATAATTGAAATGAGACTCATTGTAGATCGTATAGGCCCCTCAAATTCTCTCAAACTTATATTTGAATTTGAAAGAAACCTAACCCTATATGAAATTAGTAGATTAGGATTGATCATTTTTTGATACACAACTTAGTAATATAAATATTAAATAAAAATAAAGAAAAAATTGGTGAAAAGTCTATTCCAAAGGGGGTATAAAATATTAGATCCAAGATAAAATCTTATTTGGTGATAAGAACACACCGGAAAAGTTGCGTCAGAAAAGTCACTGACGAAGACAGCAACTAGTGGCAGCAGGTGATGATGGGGAGATAGAGAAATGCGTGATATTTAATAGATAAGTTGTTGGATGAGTGACATCATGTCACATTTTAACAAATAGTTAGTTTGGTGAATTTTAACATATAGTTGTCCTTTTTGGATAAATTGTGTCCTTTTGGCCCAAAGGAATTAGAGCTTAGACCTAATGACTCAAAAAACTCAAAAATTGACTTATGACCTGAGTGCCCTTAAATAAATTAAGTTAGTGATATGGTAAAAAATTAATTAAATATTTTAATATTATTTTTACTAAATAGTGTTATGATATTTTTTTAATCATTTATGTGATTCAGATGATTCAAAAAGTATGCAAAATAGACTTGGATAAATTACACATAGAGCTGGAAAATTCAACATGAACCTACAAATTAGCTTAATTATATTCATTTAACACTCATTCAAGTCTATAAATGGACTTAAATGAGTTACTCGTTGAGAACTCAATTAAAGTTGGTTTACATAAGTTAGACATGCGTATTCAGTTAAACCCATTTAAAATGCTATCATTTTACCACCAATCCACCTTTACTAGGGGTGGACATCGACTTGTTAGCCTGCCTAACTGTAGACGCGCCCGCGTGGGTCTCGCTACAGTTCGGACTCGATTTGTGTCACGGTTCTTAATCTGAACCAAAGAGCTCAAATCCGACAAATCGTTTTGAGAAACAGATTTTTGAAAAGAAGTGCCAAACATGGACTGCTTTGCCAGATACAGAGTCGCCACCTAAATATTTTTTATGGGGGAATTTAGGAAACCCTGACTCGGTGCCAAAGGCCACGTGTCCGTCATCACCAAAGTTGCCTCGGCTCGGTAGCTAGGGTACGATTGGGGAAGGTCAGCTATGAGCACCTCCTCTCGCCCGATCTGAAGATCGGCCTCTACTAATCGTGATATCCGTTTTTGAAAACGTTATGTGTTTTTATCCCGATTATTAGCCTAGAATTACTATGTTATGCGCACAACAAACAAGTATAGACTAGATTGCCTAATTTGGAAATAAGCATTGCATATCCGTTTGTTTTGGAAAACGTTTTGGAATTTACTACTCGCAAGTAGGCTAAAACACGGATTCCAATGAGCTATTCCAACTCAGACAATCCAACCTTCACCCACAGACATTCAAGCAGTTATATCACATAAGCAGCTAGCCTCATAGTAATCATGCTATCATTGCAACACTCACACGCATGTAAGGATGCTAAAGCATAACTACTTACATCGTACTCTGTGCCAAAACAAAGAACTCGTTAGCAATCAATGCATGATCCAAGTCCATGTTTAAATGTCTAATGCAACGCGTACGGAATGTCACTAGAGTAGGCTCGACTAGTCTATGAATGACATGTGAAAATGCACAAATAGCATGTATTCAAGTCAGATTTGAAATACGATGCAGTTAGCATGATGCGCCGAGCCCGGTGTATGCAATACTGATGAATGATGCACGTATGCATAGCATGAGGTATGCTAAATTAAACATGACCTATTACTAACCATCAAAACAGGTAAGTAAAAGGGAGAAAGAAGTGGGGGTTGAAAGACATGCACACACTCACCCACACTTATTACAAATTCGCTCTCGTTCGGAGGGACCGAAAGAATAATACAATTCGAATAATGAATTAACTATCCTAGCTAATCAATTATTATAGACCAACTAAATTAATTAAACAAATTAATTAATTTAAGAAAGCAAGAAAAAGGGGGCCTCGGGAAGAGGGCTCAATGCACGCGTGCTCGGGTCTTGCTCGGAAGTCCACTGCCATGCGTAGGCTGCCTCTGTTTTCCCTGCTCTGCCCCTCTAAAAACTTCCAAAGTCTCAGAATTGCTTCCCTGGACATTGGGAGACACCATCGGCTGAGGAGAATGGCTACCGGCAATAAGATGTGATCATCGGCTGTTGATGAAGCTATCGGCCACGGATGGATTGCCGGTCGGCACTATGTACAGTCGGTCGGCAAAAAGTTCCTGCATAATCTGTTTGACAGCAGCAGAGGACAGAGCTTTGCATGGCAATGCAATCCAAGCAGTGTATGCACCAACCATATCCCTTATCATGTTTATGACTCAAAGGGACATGGTCCTTGGTTCTCGGACCATCAATCGCGCATTTCAATGCGTGATGACCCAAGAGACCAAGTTATGCATGTCGATTTCAAAGGTAATGCAATGCACATAGTCAAACCAAGGGGCTTTTACCTCTATCATGACTCACTTCAAGAGGTAAGGCAATTCATGCACAATGCAATGCAACCTAGGCATGCGAGCTAAGGATGCAACATGGCAATGCAATGCATTTATGCAAGTATGCAAGCAAATATGCAAGGCAAG